GATTTCAGTACTCAATAGGGGTTTCACTATCAGTAGGTAGTCTCACTATCAGTAAGGAGCTTTCACTATAAGTAGGGAGTCTCACTATTCAGTTAGGGACCTTCACTATCAGTTAGGGAGTCTCACTATCAGTTAGGGAGTCTTTACTATCAGTTAGGGAGTCTTCACTATCAGTTAGGGAACCTTCACTATTCAGTTAGGGAACCTTCACTATTCAGTTAGGGAACCTTCACTATTCAGTTAGGGAATCTTCACTATTCAGTTAGGGAGTCTTCACTATTCAGTTAGGGAACCTTCACTATTCAGTTAGGGAACCTTCACTATTCAGTTATGGAACCTTCACTATTCAGTTAGGGAGTCTTAACTGTTCAGTTTGGGAACCTTCACTATTCAGTTACAGAGTTTTCAACATTCACTTAGAGAGTCTTCAGTCAGAAAGTTTTTACGACTCAATTAGAAGATTTTCAGTACTCAATTAGGGGTTTTCACTATTCAGTTAGGGAACCTTCACTATTCAGTTAAGGAGTCTTAATTATTCAGTTAGGGAACCTTCACTATTCAGTTTGGGAACCTTCACTATTCAGTTAGGGAACCTTCACTATTCAGTTAGGGAACCTTCACTATTCAGTTAGGGAATCTTCACTATTCAGTTAGGGAGTCTTCACTATTCAGTTAGGGAACCTTCACTATTCAGTTAGGGAACCTTCACTATTCAGTTAGGGAGTCTTAACTGTTCAGTTTGGGAACCTTCACTATTCAGTTACAGAGTTTTCAACATTCACTTAGAGAGTCTTCAGTCAGAAAGTTTTTACGACTCAATTAGAAGATTTTCAGTACTCAATTAGGGGTTTTCACTATTCAGTTAGGGAACCTTCACTATTCAGTTAAGGAGTCTTAATTATTCAGTTAGGGAACCTTCACTATTCAGTTTGGGAACCTTCACTATTCAGTTAGGGAGTCTTCACTATTCAGTTAGGGAACCTTCACTATTCAGTTAGAGAACCTTCACTATTCAGTTAGGGAATCTTCACTATTCAGTTAGGGAGTCTTCACTATTCAGTTAGGGAACCTTCACTATTCAGTTAGGGAACCTTCACTATTCAGTTAGAGGACCTTCACTATTCAGTTAGGGAGTCTTAACTGTTCAGTTTGGGAACCTTCACTATTCAGTTACAGAGTTTTCAACATTCACTTAGAGAGTCTTCAGTCAGAAAGTTTTTACGACTCAATTAGAAGATTTTCAGTACTCAATTAGGGGTTTTCACTATTCAGTTAGGGAACCTTCACTATTCAGTTAAGGAGTCTTAATTATTCAGTTAGGGAACCTTCACTATTCAGTTTGGGAACCTTCACTATTCAGTTACAGAGTTTTTACCATTCCGTTAGAGAGTCTTCAGTCTGAAAGTTTTCATGACTCAATTAGGAGATTTTTAGTACTCAATTAGGGGCTTTCACTATACAGTTATGAAGTCTTCATTATTCAGTTAGGAAGTCTTCATTATTCAGTTAGGGAGTCTTCACTATTAGAGAGTTTTCATTATTCAGTTAAGGAGTTGTAATTATTCAATTAGGCTGTTTTTATCTGTCAATTACCTGTTGTTGTGAGTCCATTAATGTTTCCAAGTACTTGACTATGACAGAGCGGAAATCTTGTACACGTTGTGTCTGTAACAAAAAAAGATACCGGTAATCAACATTGACATGAAAAAATGTAGCATTATCACCAACTGAATAATAATCCGATAAAAAGTTGAAAAGATGTTATTTCAACAGAAAAGACAAGGCTAGAAGTGCTGTATGCAAATGAATCAAAAGAGTTAGAGCGATGCCTACTGTTGCATGTATGTGTAGACATTGGAGGGTAGTGTGCATCTCAACATGAGACAAGGTAAACACATGTTCTAGTGAGTGTACTTTGAACACTGTCACATTTATCTGAAGAGACAAAACAAAACTGTCATGCATTGGTCCCACCCTATTTCTACCACGATTAAGTTCAAGTAACATGGCAAAATTGAAATCTTTACTGCCCATATTTCAGTCAACTTGTGTTGCAGGGAAGAAGGTGCGGTACAAGACAAAGTACATAGTAATAAAAATAAGCTTACCTCAAACGCTTCAATTTCTTTACGGATTGTTTTGGAAACTCTTTCAAAGTCTTCTTGACCATTGTCAACCTTTCTCTCCCACTATGAAGATGTAAACAAGGTAATAATTATTGAGACATGGTAATACACTGTAAATGTTTAGACAAGACAAGACAAGAAAGTCTAGACATCAATTCATACAAGTTATATTCATTCTGATAGTTTAGTTTTCAAGAGCATTCTTAACATTAGACTGGCAATAAAAACAGCATGATGTTTTGAGTACCACTGTAATGTTAAATTGCCTGTTTGACAAGCAACAGACATATGGCCTACGCACATGCACACACAACAAACAGATGCCTGGACAGATCCCAATCTACAAGCCCCCTGTACATATTAAAGAGCGGTAGTCGTCACGCCACGCATGCGCAAGATATATTGGTCTCATGTAAGCAAAGATGGCGACTTTGACTCTTGCGCAGATCAACGCGTACAAATTGAGACGTTACCAAGCTTTAATTATGTATTTTTAGGAGACTGGAAGGAATCGAAAAATTCACCGGCTGTAATTAGTGCAAGTCGCGCCCAGGTCAAACCTCATACTTGTGATTTACGCATTGGATTGTGGAAAATTAATGTTTATCAACACAAATGTCACACATGCGCAGCACGATGACCACCGCCCTTTAAACACCTGACTTACATCTTTGATTTCATCTTGTATCTGCGCCACTTTATCTTGTTTACCACTTGCTTGTAATTTGACTTCTTGTTCTTGTTTCTTACTTAGTGTGGTTTGTGCATTCTGCCATGTGTGGAAGGCTTTTTCACGTTCACGGAAAACCTCCTACAGTGTACAATGAATTGTAAGTTATTAGAAGTTACAGCATACTAGGGACAGCAAAGAATCTCCAACTGTGTAGTCAATGATGTCACTAGGAAATGCACATCACTAATTTGCATATGCCCCTTTTAGCAAATGTTGCTATCAGCTGTGACATCTCCCGCCATTGTAATATCAGCAAGACAATTTTAATATATTTTTAATAAACTTGTTTTATAAAAATTAAGTTTTGTGATAAGGAGAAGCATCATGTTTAAGATGATGCAATTAATAACATAAAATTTGAAATTTTTATTTTTGATCACTCGATCACTTCGATGAAAAATACAGCCCTGCCATGGTATTTTTGACACATTAGTTGACCGGCATGTGTCCTTTGACCCGATGGGTCAAAAACACCATTAATCAATCAGAATGCCGCATGGTAATGCCAGTAGAACCTGAAGTTTTCTGAATGGTAGTGATCATAGAAATTACATTGCGGAAGTAGAGCGATGTCGTAGCACGATATGTTGGTATGGATTTCAGATGAAAACTGCATGATGGTTTTCGAAAGAGGTGATTAGCAATTTTTAAAAGGTAAAAAAAGTCTTGAAAGAAGAGTTTTTACATGATTCGTGATGATAACAGTTCAAATGTATTTTACCCAATCACGCAATAAACACGTTGTTTTTTATTGATTAGCGTAAACTGATCGTGAACTCCGCTTTGCCAATGTTACATCGGGGTGGAATTGATTTTAAATGAATTTTAGCTTTCAATCTAAAGACTGCGTCTATCGTCAGAAAGTATTTACTTACTTACAAACAAAGAGGTGCTAATTTTACAAAATTGACTTGTATTGTTTAAAGTGCTACCACATCGCACGACTATGTCTATTGTTTACAAATTATTATCCACGACTGGCAAGATGTATGTCGGTTGGTATGTAAGTACCGTTAAAGTCCTATTATAAACCGCGGTTTATATTACAATGTATCAATTTAAAAATTGGGATCAAAAGCTCAAGTTCGGGGTGCGGTTTCTATTACG